CCCCCCCCCCCCACCAACCACCTGTCAACGGTTAAGCGAGCAGGGAATAGCATGGAGGAAAGGGCACCTATTAGGCGTGAACACAAGGGTGGCGCAGCAGTTAGCTGTATGCCAGAAAGCGGCCCCTTTAAGCCGCAGAAACTGTATAATTCGCAAGGAACAACCATCATCATAATCGTCACCATCATCATCAACATCATCGCGCGGGCGCAGAATGGCTGACTCTAAGCGCAAGCCAGAATGGCGGCGAAGTCAGTGTTTGAGGCTGCCATGTTTATCAGTCTCACCCTCCCAACCACCCCCCTCCCGACCCCCGACACCCCCCACCACACCCCAGCAAGAACAGTGTTAAGTACAGGTGGTTGGTAAGGGGGGGCCTACTTCTACTCATACTACTCCTCCTTCTTCTACTACTACTGCTACTACTGCTACTACTACTACTACTACCACCACCACCACTACCACCACCACTACCACTACCGCCACCACCCACCGCTAGTGCTGCTGGTACTGCTAGTACTGCTAGTATTGCTACTACTGCTACTGCTACTACTACTGCTACTACTACTGCTGCTGCTACTGCTACTACTACAACAGCAACTACTACTACTACTACTACTACCCCTGCTGCTGCTGCTACTACTACTGCTACTACTACTACTACTACTACTACAGCTCTTCTGGTTGCTATTCTCGCGATTTATACGATTCTCACTGTTCCCAGGACGTTCACGATTCAGAAAGCCCTTCTCGCTGCAGCCGAGAGGCTGCAACATCGGCGTCGAAGCCGCGTTGCGCCATGTGGTTGAACCAATCCTTGCTAGTGCTGCTAGTGGAGTCCCCTCTTTTGATCCTTCCAATCAGTAATAAGTATCCTACTAGATTGGGGTGCCTTCTATTCTGAAACTCTCAAAAGGACTCCCAATGTGGGCAACAGTAAGAATAGCAGCAAGCAGCCATGATGGTGAACATGATCCTCCCACTGATGGCTCTGACTCGAAAAACGAAGCTGCTTCCTACAATAACCACAGCTATTTCCGTCGACATCGTGCAGTTCGGTTGGGTTATTCTGCGTCACCGGTCTGTGTGCTCCCGCTGGCGGAGTGTTTCCATGTTGCAGCTTTCAGTCCCGGGAGGTGTCGATAACTCCCGGAGTGGCTTCTGCGCCGGAATATGCTATCATTATTCCCTTCTGTATTTCGCGTCATCATGCCTCACGGAGCATATAGGTGTATACTGCACAGATACAAAGTCCTCCAGTATAGCAATGCATACATACATGAATACCGCCATGCAAATACAAACAAGGTCAATCGTCGCTAGCCACAAAGGCGAGAAATCTCAGAACAGAAATCAATGAAGAGACCAATACGGATGGACAGGTTACTAGGCAGGTAGGCAGGCAGGCAGGTAGGGAATGCCTACAGAAGTAGTATGGATAAGATATGCGGATACTTGACAGACCGACAGGTAGACAGAGACACAACCAAAGATATGAGGTCGTGCCTTCATAAACAGTGTCGAGGGGCTTCGGCAGCGGTGGCATTCGCTTCATCGGCGAAGGCACTGATGACGCTTGTGTAGGCATACTGGTCCAAATCCTTGCCTTGATCCTTGGCAGTTCTGACGAAAAAACCCGAAACAAAATCAAGTTCGGTCGATGCAATAATCGCAACAACAGCCAGCTACATCAGCAGGTAGTACCCGTGCCTTGACTGAGCAGTCGTGTTTCCCCCGTCTAATGAGTCTCATACCACTTAGAAGATTTTGAAACAAGGGGCCCCAACATAGACTGTATGAGGTAGCATGCTCAATATGAAAACCAAATCTGCATTTCTTCCGAGGGTCTTCGAGCTCTTTGAGAACCTCCGCGGCTTTGGCAGGATTCCCGCTCACGGCCCAAGCTGTCACTAAGGCAGAGCTCGCCTTGACGCCTCGGAACTGAGCCTAAATAAACAAGCAAACAAACACATAATAAACACAACGTATTATATGTATACACAAACACATATATATATATATACACACACACACATGCGTGTGTGCATGTATGTATGTATGTATGTATGTATGTATGTATCTACATGTGTATGTATATCCTCGAGTCGAATCTCGGGCGGGCATGACAGAGCAAACGTATGTGCATCTGTGCATGCATATGTAGAAAGAGACATAAATTGTCTTACTTATATTGCATGTTTGCATGGTGAACAAGCAACAAGAAATGTTTGTGTGTATACATATATGTCTGTTGCAGACATGTACACATGTTATGCACAGTATGCGTACAGGTTCGGATTTTAAATATGAATATCTCTATATCTCATCTCCTTATATCTATATCTACATACATAAGCAAAGGAACAAACAAGAGTAGATACACATGTACTCATTTATGTATTCATTTATCCATTTACTTATGTTCGTATTCACATTATAGGTACAGCTTATGACGGCTGCATGCGGAGATCATCTTCCGGGCTTCCTAGACTTCTGCTTATGCTCCTGCAGCCGCTCCGCGCAGCCCGCCACTGCCCACATGCATCACCAGCATCACCACGACATGCCCCATTTTCATCAAAAGTCGAGCAATACCACCCTTCTCCGAATCATCACCGGTAAAAAAAAGTTTTAACAGATGTATCGCAACGGCTGAAGTGGACAGCATTTATGGCTCCTACTGCAAACTCCTGAAGTCAAGTCCTGATGCAGCTCACCAAGAACCCCGTCTTGTTTTGGGTCCGGATCAATCATAATAGCACCAATGGTGCTGTTATCATTCGTGTTATGTCTATTCATGCAATAAGCTAGAATTCTTGTTGATACATATTCTCGCAAGCCTTCTGCTTCTTGCTGGGATGCTCTTCAGATGCCTACTACATACTGTTAGACTCTGCATCCGGCCTTGCTTCAAGCCGCACGCAGCCATTCTGTGAAACCACTCTGTGGCCTCCTGCAAGTGCGCCAACAATCACATGCGAGGCTTCTACCCATGAAGCTGTTCACGGCTTCTTTCGGAGGCTGCTGGTTGCTCGACACAGCTAAACGAAGAAACTTGATATGCACAGAACACTTGTCCAAGTTGCACTTCGGATGAACTCTCTCAGCATGCAATACTTAGACCATACGACGGATGTTCTCTCATCCTTAAAAACGAGCCACACCCCACTATAGGCGTTTGAGAGCGCACGGCCTCTGGGTAACCCTTGGCACCGCAGGCCGCGATGAGCTTCTCGAAGGAGGAGGCCTCCACCGCCCGGCTGGCCGCGAGCTCTTCGAGAAGGATTTGCGCGGCCTTCCAGGGGCTTAAGGGCAGTTTAGGGGCTCCTTGAATATATACGTAGTCCTTTGAATCGTAACCCGGGAGGACTCCAAGATCCTCCTTGAATGATACTGATCATCGGGATCCGCAACTAGGGGGGCCCTTTGTTTAAGCCTGGAGTCTCTTTAACTATGTCAGGACTTGCTGGGGCTAAGAGGGGTCCCCAGGGGGTCCGGCCTCGTGGATCCTACCGGTCTGTGCCAGGTCTGCGACACGGGCATCGGCTTTCGATTCACTGGCCTCGGTTTCCAGGAGTTTTCGCGGTCGGTTCCTGCTTTATCCGCTCATGGTTGCTCCGAGTCACATCTTGCTTTTCGTCGTCGTAGCCGGCCAGCAACACAGCGGCCGTCATTTCCCGCGATGGCAGGAAGCCTTCGAAACAGAGCTTTGGAAACGGGACATCCGCCCGGGCGCACTTCCTTGCCCACCTGCTGCCACCATGCGATCCACCATGGCAGCGGATCGGCCCAGGTCGCCGGTTTCTAGCCAAGCTTCCGCAATGCAGGAGTAGCACATCCTCAGGGCTCGGCATCTCCGAGGCGAAGCGCTTCAGATGCCCACGGCGGAAAAAACCAAACCGAGGAGCCGGTCGGGTTCAAGGCCGGCAGACAGCAGCCTGCCGAGCCACTCCTGCCATCAACGTTCGAGTCTCTCAAGGGGAAACTCCTTGGGACTCGGACGGAGAGAGGCTCTACGACGGGGAGGGCCCTGCGTAGAGTCAGAACCCTAGGCCTCGGCTTGCTGCGGGGATGTCGCAGACAGCCTGGAGAGGAGGCGCCGGGCCAAAGGCCGACACCTCAGAGTTGAGGAGAGATCTCCATAAAGGCGAGTCCAAACGAGTCCCGAGTTCAGCACCTTTGGAGCTCTTCTAGCACTGGCTCTGAAAGCCAGAGCTCCAAAGCATCCACCTGGAAGGGGGGGGGTCTGAAAAGGCCCTATCTGAGGCACTTCAAAGCCGCCTCCTCCGACTGAAGCTCCTCCTGCAGCCTCGCCAATGCAACGCAGACAAGACCGACCTGCAGGACATCTGGGCCAAGGTGCTTCAGGAGCAGACGCTGCGACGGTGGGCTCCTGCCGTCACAGTTGCACAACCTTGCGCAGACGAGTCTCTCTTCCAAGCTTCTAAACTCCCGCGGTCCTCATTCGTTCGAGCCAACCTCTTGCTCGCTGAGGACGGCCTGGCAAAACCGCGGGCAGAGCTCCCAGGCCCAGGCCCAGGCGCCTCCGAAACTTGGGCCTTCTCGGCGACAGGCATTGAAAAGGATTTCGAAGGCTTCGTCGTCGGGTTCTACCTGAACCCGCTTGGTGCCAGTGGTACTAAAAGCCGTCTTTTCTTGGGTGCCGCGGGTGCAGACGTATAGGAGAGACTCTCATCCAAAACTGCTCCAAGTTGCACCACATGACGGCATCTCGTGCTCAACCCACCTCAGAGCTTCAGAAATACTGGACCTTCATAACATAACTACCCGTAAATCCATGTCCCTAGCTCCAGGCCCCCCAAAACATCCCAAAACAGTGCCCCAAATTTGAAGAATCCCCCCACCTCACCGCAGCATCCAGGCTGTTGTTCGCCCCACCTCCAAAAACGTGGCATAAATCCAGGGAGCTTTGCCGTACAAAGGCCAGGATCCTTGACATTTAGGGTTTTGGGTGTTGGGCCTGTACATGTTCACTGCTTACTACTGCTGTCGCGAAACAGGCCTAGTCTGCGCAGAACAGCTTTGCAACAGTCGAGATCTGGAAGGTGGCCAGCAAGTCGCATTTGCCTCTCATGGCAAGACACGCAATTGCCTCTCATGGCAAGACACGCAAACACTACACAAAAGCCCTCTCAGTCATCCTGAAGCAGTAGACCTGGGAATCTGAGAAACTTACTGTATGGTGGACTCCATACATTCACCATTCTATAAATTCGTCATCGCATCTGGGCTAATCATAGCAAGAGTTCCGAAGACTCGAAAGTATCATAATCTAGTTATTGACATTCCGGAATTCAGGTGGCACACTTCACCGAAGCGCAATAGTTAACCAGGCCGGCAGTGCTCATGCAACAATACGAAATCATCCGCGTCATCTGTGGCTCCACCTGTTGCACGCCAGGGTCGGCAGGGTTACCATGGTCAGGGTGCGGTTCTCAAATCTTCTGATAATATTCCCAAATTTTCTGATAATGTAGCTATTTTACTATAAATGTAGCTATTTTATCATAATACGATTGCAATATACTAGGTGGGATCGTATTACATTTATACTATAGTCTAGTTTATATGATATTATGTTGTATGATGTGATGTTATGTTCTGTTGTGTTATATTATACTATCTCATATTACATCGTGTTAAAAATTATTGTATGTCTTATAATATGGTACAATATTATATCATATGCTGAACCATGCAAACAATCGCGAGCATTTACCGTGCTGGTGCCCGACCTTGCTCAAGCTCGAGAAGAACTCTTCGGAAAATCTCAGCCTGAGCAAATCTGCAGTTCTTCTGCTCCCTACCCGGCCCCACCCTACACCGCCAAAAACCCCGTAAAGTCCTTCAGAAGGCAGAAAGCCTCCACATACAGTGACCTGCGTTCTTCCAGCGCAATGCTTGTGACTTTCTTCTGGACGAGAACAACTCTCCAGTCTGACACTGCAGGATTTCTGGTAACAATGGCAGAATCTGAGAAAGACGTTGATTGTTGATGGTAAGACTCATGCCCTGTCTTGTGCCGCCTTGTTGCCTAGAGGCACAATCGTGGGTCTTTTTCTCAATCTGAGTAGCCTAGGTACCGATACTCAACTCACCCAAGCAGTGTGAGCCTCCGGGGTCTGGCCCATGTCCATGCAGCGCTGGAGGTATCGGCTGGCAGCCACTGCAAAGCCCTGGGCAGCTCTGGGCAGCTCATGGCCGAACTGCTTTTGGTGAGGGGCCACATGCGCCGCCCTACAGGCCCTACAGGTTTCACTGCCCTACAGGATTGCTACTGCTGTAGTTGCAGGTGCGGGTGGTCATGGTGCTGCTACTCTTGTGCTGTCAGCATGACTGTGACTATAGTGTCTACGATGCCGTTAAGGGCTCCTTCCTAAAGGGCTTTAAGGATCCAAGCGAACATTTACAGCGCATCCCATATTCAGGGATTTCGGTCTTCTCTGACTCGTCAACTTTACTTTCGTCTCCCAAGGGGCCTGCCGTGCCAGAGCTGGTGCCACGGCACAGAAAATCACACTGGAGCTCCTGCGGAGAACCCGGTGGCTACTTTCCGGGGACGGGACAGATGGAACGTGCCAACAATGGAATGGCTGAATATGCTAACAACATCAAGTAGAATATGTATAATGGCCTATAAGTGTATTTACTGTAAGTCTGGGGGTTCCCTAAACCCTAAACCCTTTGGGCTTTGTCTTCAAAGGATTGGGGGATCATTTCAGTCGAGGCTCTCTTCCTCCAGGAGGCCCCTGCTCAGCAAAACCTCCTGGGCTGTTGGAGAATGGGCTTCGGGATGAGGTATCTACATTTAAATTTAGGGGTTCATATACTATACTTATCTAAGATTTAAGGGTTAACAAAGGATGTTGTAGAACCTTGCGTGGCCTGCCTGAGGGTGGAATGACTCGTCCGTCCCCCACAGGATCCAACCAGACTCTCGGGTGAGACTAGCTTCGAAGGTGTGCTTCTCAAAAGCAAGGCTCGAGCCATCGTGCAGCTCGACGGCCATCCCCGCTCTTCGCACATTCCAAGACAGCTTTAGCTGTAAAGGCCTTGCAGGAACTCGCAGCTATGTAGATACGCAGGAAGGACGGGTGTGCGAACATCTGCATGTGCTTCTGTAGCACAGACTTGTGAGGCCCCTCTGGCGCCTCTTCCTTCCTCTTCTCTGGACCTGGAAGGTCGGAGGAGGGGCCCGAGGGCATCCAAAGTTCAGCGGCTCCCAAAGCGCTGGTCAAGGAGGACTCATCGCGGCCTGGCAACTTCGAGCGTTTCTGTGCTTACAGTATCCATACGAAAGGGATGCACTTGTAAGACCACGACATCATGCATTGTCATGAACCGGTGGGCCCGGCAGGAAATTTCTGATCCACTCTTCGCAGCAAGGTTGCGCAATTGGAATAAGTGGGAGTTTCGGAGAACGATTCAGGGATTCCACCACGCACCCTAAAAGTCCTAACACAAATTGCACAGGAGCACAAAAGAAGCAGGCACCCTGAAGTTTCTGAGACTCCCGTTTCGTTTGCCTTGCGGCCGAGCTCCTTCTGCCCGCAGCGAGGTGCGTGTCGTTGGTGCAATCTCGCAGGGATCACCGTGGGAGGAGAGAACAGCCGCACAGGAAAGTAGCGACCTCTTCACCCCTTGCTTTGAACATCTTAGAAGGCTGGGTATCATTTCTAGGCTGGCCTTGATCTGCACCAGGCTTTGGCTTAGACGCTGGGAGGCGCTCAGCAGCAGTGCTGCTGCGGTGGCCGCGCGACGCCCGCAGCAGGTCCGCCGCTTTTGCGGGGACATGGCTGGCACGATGGACGATGCTATACTATGATATACCATAATGTACTATCATATACTATAGTGTACTATAATATACTATAATATACCATAAAATATATACTATCTCAGCTTCACGTGGACGCGCCCAGTCTCAGAAAGTGCACCGGTACAAATGGACTCGGGAGGATCTAATGCCTTCTACACTGTGTCGTGGTTCAAAACTGGGCTTCGGCAGGGCTAGGTCCTGGCCGCCGACTGATTGAGGGAGGAAAGCTTTGTTGAGTTGTTGGAAATATAGAAAAGGAATCGTGAAGCTCAAAGCAATATTGGAGCTTTCTGCCGACCACGGTTGAAGAATGCCTGGAGGCTGTCTCGGTTTCAAGAACCCTGGGCGTGAATCCACGGAGCTAACCATGAACAGCCAGTAAGCGGGCAAATGTGCGCAGCAACTCCGTGTCGGGGTCGATGTGATCTTGGCGAGCGGGCTACAAGTACCTGTCGAATGTTGTGCCAGATGGTGAGGGCAGTTTGAGAAACCATAAGGCTGTCAGACGTCTTGATACCCTCGAAATCGCGAAGCATTGCTCAAAATCCTAAACTGTACAATCCTATACACCTCTACAACCCCCGTACTGCTCTAAGCACTCATCCCTTTTCTGGCTCTTTGGCACTCCGCTGTTGCTAGCATGCAGAGGCCCGGCTGCAAGATCCTTCTCCGGCAAGGCTGCACAGGATTTTGTCAGAGCTCTCGGGGGCCCTTTGCGGCTTAGTTCTGCATCTGCTGTGGCTGAGGGAGAGCAGGGCTGCAGGCAGACAAGTTAAGGTTTAGGGTTTAGGAGTTTCGGTGTGACAGCATCGATGGTCTTAAGACAGGTGCTTCAGGTTGGCGCAGCCGGCAGCCTTGGGAAAAGCATTTCGACCTCATTGGCGATGTTTTACTACTATAAAGATTTGATCGCGAGATCAATATGGTACGCAATGTCGAATTCAGAAGCCAGCGCGTCGTGGAGCTGGAAGCTCCGAGATTTTGGGCATTGCATGGAGTGCATCCTAGATGTTGGTACTTATGGCTTGCCACTGCGCAGGCTTCGTCACCGTATGCAAGGCTGACCTTGAACCATCTGAGCTCGCAGTGCAATCAAACGGTCCAATGCATCAACTCGGGCGGTTGCGGCGATTCTGCGCCAATGCTTCCTCGATGAGGGTTCAAAGCTAACCTCGACGACAAGCTATACGTGGGAAGGCCTGTCGGGCGCACGGCACGTGCCCGATGATGCCCGAAACAAAAGCCAAAAGCTATTCACGGCACAAGCCGAGATGAAGGCCATCTCGTCTCACATCACGCGGGCGTTGTAGCCTCACGACAGCGCAGGGGCGTGCTGGACATGGACACATGCGCTTCGACACATCTGAAGCTGCCTCCGTACTGGCCACTGTAGTTCTGTCGCATGCCGCCGGCGCCACCCATACCGTATGGAGCTCCCTGAGTTCATCTGGAAGTCTGCTCGACAGAATTACAGATTTCCGAGTCAGCAAGCTGCAACATGAGCTCAAGTTGCTGATGTGTGCGTCTTCTTCGCCATAGATCGATACAGATTCAGATTTGTCAGCCAACAGGAGAGAGACCGCAACGATTTCCTTTCTTGTTTTTACATAGGCATGGGTTCCGGCCCACTGCAGCATCCTTCATGGCAACATGTTTTGCAACTGAGCTGGCGGCCTGGTTGAGAAGAGGGGCCGGGGTCTGCGAAGAGGCATTCGCCGGATCACTTCCATGAACCCTTCATGTCCATGAGTTCTCAGTTACTCCCAAGTCCAACGGCACGAAGATGAAATTGTCAGTTCAACACTCCGACGAGGTCTGAAAAACCCGGGGCTGGCGCCTGGAAGTTTTGCGTGGGCGGTTGACCGCCGTAGCCGCCTTGTTGCGGATACCTGCTTGTATGTATGTATGTATGTATGTATGTATGTATGTATGTATGTATATGTGTATATGTATATATACATATATGTCATGTATGTATATATACATGGATACATATATACATATATATATATATACACATACATATATATATATATACATACATACATATATATATATATTCATACATATATATATATACACGTATTAGTATACATATATATATATATATATATATATATCTATATATGTATATACATATTTATTTATTTATCTACCTCTCTACATACATACATACATACA